ATGGACATATATACAAAGAAGCATTTTAACATTTAGTGGAATTCTGCAACAGACCTTTTTCATTTCCTAACGCAAAACACACAGAAGGTGGAGAAGTGCAGCCGAAACGCACTTTTTTGTTAGCGAAACGACAAGCCGAAGAGCACACAGGCCTACAAGGGAAAGGGAGATGGTGAGATGGCAATTGCGAAGGCGATGGCGATGGTTTGCATGAATTTCTATGTATGTGCATACATGTGTATGTGTGTATGTATATACCATAAAATATATGTAAAGGGGGCTGAATGACGTAGGAGCTCCCTGACGCATGTATATGTATCACTCAAGCATATAGCCATATTTGCGCGCTGTGCCCACATTGGCAAAGCGCAAAGCAAAATCGAACGCATTGCCGAAACGAAAAAAAGCACTGTTGCTGTCGCTCAGAGAGCATAAACAACAATAGTAGCACAGATGTTATGCCCAAAAACAAATTTCAGTTTTGTAGATTCGCTCTTGTCTTTTTATTTGCAAACGCATAGGCCTTAACACTGCGCTTATAGCGAGAACAAACGCAAGCGGTCAAAAAAGTGTACAAAAAGCTCACCACTTAAACGCGACGATCATACTTTGCATCACGGTTGCTCTCGCTAAACACACATACTTATTTAAGTTTTTTTTTTATTTTTTTTTAGCGCGCTCAAAAGTTTTATATATCTTTTCTATCAGCAAAAATAGTCTCTCCGTTCTTTTTAAAATGCTTCTAACGAAAAGTTATGCAAAAACGCGGGAGAAGCGCAACATATTCAGTGTTGTTTGTGTGAGTGCACGTTGGATAGAGAGGGGAAATGCGATTTTGTTTGCTCTCAAAGAGAAATAGAGATATGAAATAAATGCGCAAGTGTGGTTCTTCCACTTCCTTTTTTTTTGCTTTTGCAATTTTAAATTTGAAATTTCAGTGCATTTGTTTTTATTTGGCATTTCCGCTATAATTATATGCAATGCCATTCCATGTGCCATCTCTTTCATGCTATAAATGTGTAGTTACTACTCCCAGTTCTGGGAAAAGCTTTCAAAAATCAGTGGAAAAAATTCATAAAAAATGAAATACAATTTTTGGATAGTATAGAGCTATAATACGTCCTGGCTTTCCCGAGATACACGCAATGATGTTGAATTTTTTGTTGTTTCGGTATCTCTGTCCAGCCTTTAAAGTTTTCAGGTTTCTTCAGGCTTAAATATGCTATTCATATGTACATACATATGTCCATATGTAGACAATATGATGAAATATTATATAACCATCGGTCGCAGTAGCCAAGAAGTTAGTAGCGTGTGCTACCGTGCGAAGTCCCAACATTAAAAAATTACAAACATTATTTGTGTATGCGGCTGCCGCTCGTCAGGGGAGAGTCTATTTCTTACAAGAAGCCATTCAGAGGCAGCCTAAACTTGAGGTCCTTTCATTTGTTAAAAAAGCATCAAAAAATTAGAGTTTCGGTCATCATTCTTATGTAATATTGAATATTGAGGACTTCCATCCGAATTTAGCCTTCCTTACTTATTATGCTATTCATTTATTTGTTATTATTTTTTAGAAAACATTCTTCGATGTGCACATACACACATACATAGTACATACATATATTTGTTTATTATGTATTTATTTTCTTATAAAATGCAAATTACAGAAAGTGTTCTAACTGCAAGCTTTATTAAACTAATTTTAATCACATATGTATGTATATATGTATACATATATATTTTTACTTACGACATTTTACTACCCCTTTGAAAAACTTCTTACTGCAGAAATGAATGCAGCATGTTGCAAACACACAATTACCTCATTGCATATGCGACGCAAGCAGCGAAAGCAAGCAGCGACGTAACCACTACGCGTTAAATCTAAAAACCAGAGAGCGAGAACATTAAACAACGGCGAACTTGAGACAAAACAGAGAGCACATCTCAAAAGAAAAAAAAAAAACAAAACAAAATAAAAACATGCGAGAGCATGAGAGCGCTACTTAGAAATTTGCGAGTGCATATGTATGCATGAGTAAGATAAACTCATCGGACTGACTGATGCGAGCGTAACTTTTGCATTTGCAACGTAGCTGCGAGCAAAGCAAACACACAAAAACAAATATATGCCAATAGCATAAACAGCTTTAAAAATAGTTGGCAAAAAGCAACAGAATACACAAAACAACTATGGAAAGCACGAATGTGACGAGAAAAGAGCAGAATTCGTTGAAGTCATTGGAAAATGTTGCGCGGCGGATTACAGTGGGTATCATGTAGGCATGAGCAAGTATGACAACTTCTGTCTTGAATTGCTTACATTTAAATTTAATAATCAAAAACAAATATATTTTTTTATCTCAAACAGAATGGAAATATATGTATGTACATTGCAGTAAATTTTAAATTTCATTTCATATGATATATAATAAAGATTTGATTTAATTGATGTTAAAAATTAAATGAGCATATATGGAAATTTTGAACTTGAAACATTTCTAATTTTGGAATACTTATAGGGTCATTTATACATATGCATACGTGCCACCGACATCCAAAAAAAAATTTATGAATATTATTTTAAATAAAAAATTAAGTCCGAGTGTGTTTCGGGCATGAAATAAAGGCATCTCGTGAAAAAGCCATCAGTCGTTCGGAGGTGGCTTTGTATAAACTGTAGGTCCGTCCATAAAGGGGAAAAACATCAAGATGCAAAATCACATATTGGAGGAGGAGCTCAGCCGAAAAATCACTTCAGCCGTTACAAAGCTAAGCTTAATTAATTAACTAATTTATACTGCATACATATAATAAAAGTAGGTATCATTGTTTTTGTTAAAAAAATTAATATTTCTATATTTAAAATACAATTATTTCGCAAAAATAAACATATATGAGCTACATAAAACAAATTTCTTTAACAAAATTCCCATCTGAATAAAATATAATTACACTTACCGCCTTTCGCTTTTTCGTAACTTAGAGTAATATTTAAATACATGCGAGCTATTATTTATTAATGCCATTATTAAATCGCCGAGCTATTAATTTATTAACGCTCCCTAATGCGCTTTCATGCAATATTTAATTTTTTTTTTTCTTATTTTATTAGGCATCATCTTATAATCTTACTTTTCACCTTTTGATTTAATGCCATTAATTACTTATAATAGCGAACAAATCATACAATTTCTTGGCGATTTGTCGGTGATTTTTTTTTCTGGGAAGGAAAAAGGTATATTACAGATATTAATCCAAGAAAAACATATTTTAAGTACTTTAGTTGAGATAAATCGATCTTATCTCCTAGTTTCTTGTCATCTACTGGGAAATAAGAGCATTACATATACTTACTATAGCCAGATAAATCGATAACCCATAAAACAACAGCCATTTCGAACCAAAAATATTTTTGTTCAAAAAGTCAGTACCACTGTAGCGCGTAAATGGTCTTTGCCCATCGTGCACATTCGCTCTTCCACTTTGAGCCAGCGACTCTCAGCACACACACGCACAATTATTGCTATGTTTGCTTTACTACATTTTCGCCGTACGACCCGACCACTTGCTGTTTGCTTTTTTGCATAAAGCAAAACCAGCAGCTTACAATAACGAGCATGGTGAGGCATTTGCATCATAGTGTGTGTATGTGCTTGATGGAATTGTGCAATTGTGTTGCTGAGTATTTTTAGCATTTGCCACATAATTATGTATGTATAAGAATATAAACACGTATGTAAATGTGTGCGAGGCATTTATGCTTCCTAGTATTCTTACTCAGCTCATTGTGGTCGCTGCGTTTGCTGCTTGGCGCATATGCATACATAGTTAAATATGTAGATATGAATGTATGTATGAACAGAATATGCGAGTGAAGTGCGCTTTGCAGCAAACGCTGCTTCCGCTCATGAGCGCGTCTGCCAGCAGTGCGCAGTGCTTTTGCTAATGCTTTTTCTTCTGCACTTTGCCGACTTCATTATGTTTTTACTCTCTTCATTGTGTGCTTTGGTATGGTGGTTGATTTGCTTGCTATCTATGGCTGTTGCCGCGTTGTGTTGCTGCCTGCGCTCTGGTGGATGTTTGCGGTGAATGCTGCTTGCTCGCTCGGCTGGCTGACTGACTACTGGCAGCGGCTGACTAGTTGGTGGGCCAAAAACGCAATTTATGAAATTCTGTTCGTCTAATTCGGCCCCAGGTTTCGGAGGTGCTCGCTCGCAGCCAGTGTGTGCGCACTCGTCTCGTAACGTTTTTCTTCTAACAAATTTTTACACAACAAAAAATTCAAAGTTTAATAAATACACAAAAAATATATAAACAAAAAAGGAAAAAAGAAAAAAAAAACATTTTTTAAATAAAAGTTTCATTTAAAACGCGACTACAATAAAAAGAAATTTATTTTTTACATATTGCAATCAACGGAAAATAGTAAACGACATATAACATTTTTAGTTTGCTCTCAATATAAATGCAATAGAAGCGGAAACGACAATTCGCGGTAAAAAATCAAAGCGAATCCACTTAGCGAATTCGAATTTGAATATTCAGTGTTTTTTAATTGAAAAATCAATGGAATAAAATAAAAATAAAATTGAAATCAGCAAAATGTATAAAGTGCAGCGATGCCAAATAAGTTCAAGTTATTGTGCTGAAAAGGGATATTTAAATCAGCAGCAGCAGCAGCAGTGCAGCGGCCGAAAGTAAATAAGGGCGATTTAGAAGGAGACGAAGGAGCTCACAAAAACATATTCAAAGTACGATAGTGTATTTAATTGAGTATAAGATAACATATTTACATAAGTATATATTTTTTATTTTAAAAAGTAGCCAAAAAGTGTCAAAAAATATTTTTTATTAAAAAAAAAAATTTTAATACAAAAAATTTCAGACTTTTCAAAATTTAGTGCATGCAAGATTAAACAAATGAAATAAAATAAGTTTTCACTATTTTACTATTTTGAGATTTTATGCGGCTAACTAAGAATTTTGTAAATATGAAGACAAATAATATACCGTGCAGAAAATTCTAAGTTCAAACAATGCTAAATGGATTTTCAAACTAATAAAATGAAAATGGCAACGAGTTAACTGGTGCACAACAAAAATGACTTGAAAACGTAATAAAAAGAAGTGTAGAAAAAAATTAAATAACAGCAAAACTACAGATATTTTGCCAAACCTTGCTGTAGTTGAGAGCAATGTAGGCAGTGACACGGAAATGGTGGAAAAAATCACTCAGTGCGAAAATTCTTAAAGTTCTACCACCTAAAAAAAAAAACAATAAAGTTTTTTAACTTTAGAAAATGATATTTCTGTTCTGAATTGTTTTGATGAAATACTGAATTTAACTAAGTGTCCAAAAATATGAAAAATACTGTACATTAATTTTTTTATTTTATTACAAAAAAAAAATAATTTTAAATTATCCTTTACCTTAATTTCTGCAATATTATCTTTAATTATGTGTTTGTGAATTTATGTGAACATTGTAAATATTTTAAAAGAGTATTTTCTGCAATTGCATATGAAAATAACACAAATGTTTGTGGCACTAGAAAAAACAATAAAAATATTAAAAGTACTAAATATATATAAATTGGGTTATTTTCATTTTTCTTTTCGTTCGCTGTGTAAATTTTGCATGTGCGTGTGTGTACGTGACTGCGTGGGTGTGTTTGTTCAATAAAACTGATAAAAGCGCGAACTCCTCAAATCACTAACAAAAAAGGAGTAATATATCAATGTGTAAAAGTGTACATACAATGTATGTAAATATGTGCTTGAGTAATGATAATAATAAATAATAATAATGATAGCATTAAAAACATGTAATAATTATGACAAATATAAAAAATATATAATAATATCGATTATAATAAAAATAGAATTAGTAAATAATATTATTAATAACTCATAATAATAATAATAGTAATAGCAATAATAATAATAATAATAACAAATATAATAAATAACATAAATATACAAAATATTAAAGTAAATGATAATAATGTAAGTAACAGCAATCATTAATAATATTTCTAAATTTTATAAATAAATAATAGTGAAAAATATTGTTATTAAATTATATAAATAAAGAAACGAGTATAAATAATAAATAAATAATTTTAATAATAATATCTCTGAATAAACATCGCAACAATGAACACAAAGGCCCGGCCAACGAATTAAATTTTTACATATGTACATATATGTCTACTACATTTATAAATAAAAACAAAAATTAGTTTATAGATGCGTAATACATACATTTAAATCAAATTTTTTAACAATAAAAACTAATTTAATATTTTACTTAAGAAAAATAATAATAATTTGAATTACCTAAACCATTTCAATTGAAACTTGATTAAATTCCTACAGAATTAAGTGAAATAAAATGATTGCTTTAACTTGAATAGGTAGAGAAAAATGTGTACAAAATTCTGAGTGTCCGTCTGCCTGTGCCAAAACTAGTCCTTTTTTATTTAGAAATATTCGCCTAAAATTTTTTAAACGGATTTCTTTCACAAAAATGAAAAATCATTTTCGACACGACACCTACAGCTGTACTAAAAACAAACACAATACAAACGCCAAAATTATTCAACATTTCTCACCCCACACGAAGCAACTACACCGCCTACAACCCCGAAAAGTATGCAATTGAAAATTTGGTATTGAGTGAAAATTCCACAAAAAAGCGCGTAAAGCAAAATTCAAGAAACAAACGTATACAATATGCAATATAAGCAATGATGAAAATACATATAGTAGCGGTAGCGGGTAAAATCAGTGAAGTGGGAAAATGAATTGAATGCAGAGAAAAGGCAAAATTGTGTACAACGAATGAAAACGAAAATCGCCTGCGCTGGCAAAGCAAAGTGTGTATGCAGCAACTAAAAATTTGTGTATGCATGTTTGCATATTTGCGTTTGCATGTACATACATCCAAGTAAATACACACTTACATATATAGCCCATAATTGCATGAGAGGAAAACCGAGGCAAAAGTAGCAGGAGACGCTGAAGAAGAACGCCTGTGGCGCAAGGCAAATATTGTAGTTACAATGCAAAAAGGATGTGGAAGAAAAAAGGGGGTTGGTTGGTTGGTTTGTTGGTTAGATATTTGTGCATAAAGCGCTTTGTGCCGTGCGCCCTTTAACCTAACCCCTTTCACCGACAAACTATCATGCAACGTCAACTAACTACAACAGCACAGAGGCAAACATTTGCAGCAAACTTGCCCAGCCAACCAACCGACCAACAATCCATCCACTCGTATTGCAATTGCAGAGATTTTGCCCGCGGCGCAAACATAACTCGAGAAGGAAAGAAATAATGAATATGAAAGAAAAGAAAAAGAGAATAGAAGAAGAAAAAAAAAACAATTTGCATGTAAATTAATGCGCGCATCTGCATTATTCAAGCGCCTGCAACAACAGCAATAGAATAACAACAAATACAATAACTGGTCTAGTTGCCAAACAACACAACACGCGCGGGAATCATAAAAGGATATTTGCACACAAACGCACACACAGGCATATATTATGAACTAATATGTGCTTTTCGAGCAAATCATAGTTAGTGTTCTATGCAAGCCTTGCGAGCGTGTCGGTAAGGACAAACACCCCACCCCGCCTAGGACTGTGGCAACGCTAAAGCGCATCAAATGCACGCCGGCAATAAGCTGCAACTGTTCCATGCTGCAGTCGAAGGACTATGTACGCATAAAAGGACATTCATTATGTATGAACGCATCGGCTGAGTGCAAGCTCTCTCAGCTGAAATGTGAAAACTAACCCTTCTTTTCGTTTGACTACCGGTTGTCTACGAAATGCCAAGTGTTTTATAACTCTTAAGGGGTTGCGAATGATTTTGAATTGCAAATGTGCATTTGAAGGATATTATTTCTATTTTAGTCAGAATGTTTTTTTTTTTAATTCCTGCTCGCTTTTCATTTTCACATATGCAGCATATGTATGTATGTACATATGTATTTTATTTTTTAATTCTTAATATATGTATGTATATTAAATTTATATAATTGAAAACCTGATGGATGGACTTCGTAATATTCTGCTCGAAATATCTTGATTTCGGCCCTTTTTGAGCATTACAAAAAAAAAATTAAATGATAGAAATAAATTTCGGTTGAAAAATAAACGCTACTACATTAAGCTTATAGCTGAGGTTCGCTTTACGGTTGCCGTGGCTCTACATAAAAAATTAATATAATTGCGAATCGGTTTTCTTTATTAGTAACGGGTGCGGGTCCTAAAGATAGTGCAGTAGCTGGTTGCAACTACAAGAATATGTCCGTGTGCGAAACAGTACCCTACCCATGATCTTCCATCACGTCTAAATACTTGATCTAATTTGAAAAGGGGGGCTCCTTACCTTCTCCTGAAGCCTAAAATGAGGACTGGTACCTTATATACTTGTTGGCAATCTATATGCCGCTGCAACAGTATGTATTTATTATATAACGTTTTAATACAGTTCAGTACGGGTTGAGGTATTTTAAAAACAAAAATTTATAGTTTTCTCCCCGCATCCAATATATATTTGATTAATTAATAATCTAATTTTTGATGGTATTATTGGTACGAAGGCATATAGCTATGCTTTCTTTTTTCCTCTAAATATGAAACTGAGCCTAATTTGTGTTCGAGCTTCTGAATTTTTCATTCAAAAGGTCTTGAGGCAGAGCCTTAGGGATTCTCTGCATACTACCATAATACATTCTCTTTATGAGGAACTCTTATTTCCATCAGCTTAAATGACTTTTTAATAGTTTTCTAATATTTTTCAAACTTAGTACTGTCCGGCTACTAGGTGGCTCCTTTTTAGAAATTTATAAAAATATTCATAAAATGGCATATCAAATAACCAGTTGATATATTGCGTGTATGCATTAATTCGTGCGGTTTTCTAAGAGAGGGCTCTATCAGTATTCTTTCGCGTCGTGTTCATCTGTGGCTATATTCATTTCAACGACCCGGAAAGCCAAAAAAGATTTCAAGACGAAGAATTGGAGACATTGCTCGACGCAGATGCATGCCAGACGCAAGAAGAACTTGCAAAAGTATTAGGAGTTGATCAAGCAACCGGATTCATTCAGAAGCTTGGAAATTGGGTGCCTTATGAACTGAAGCCAAGAGATGTCGAACGTCGATTCTGCATGTCGGAAATGTTGCGTCAATGCCACCAAAAGGAGTAATTTTTGCATCGGATTGTCACTGACGATGAAAAATGGATTCATTATGATAACCGAAAGCGCAAGAGATCGTATGTGAAGCCCGGTCAACCATTGACATCCACGGCAAAGCCGTATAACCATGATACCAAGGTTATGCTATGTATTCGGTGTGACCACAAGGCTGTGCTCTATTATGAGCTATTGAAATCGGATCATCGGACGATCAATGGGGACCTTTACAGAAAACAATTGATTCGTTTGAAAAAGGCCATCGCGGAAAAACGACCAGAATATTCGACCAGACACCAACCATTAATTTGCCATCATACAACGCTCGGCCACATGTTGCAAGGCCAGTTAAAAACTATTTGGAAAAGTGTGGGTGGGAAGTTCAACCTCACCCGCCTTATAGGCCAGACATAGCAACTTCCAAATACCACTTGTTCAGATCAATGCAGAATGCCCTCACCGGAGTACGCTTCACTTCAGAACAGGGCATCACAAATTGCCAGAAATATGGGCAATATCGTAGCTTTCGATGGGCAATACTTTGTACATTAAATATATAACCATTTTTACACAATAAAGTCTTGATTTTCGAAAAAAAACGCACGAATTAATGCATACACCCAACACCATAAACATATTGTAAAATGCAAAAATTATGATTTTTAGCATAAATAGATTTGAAATGTAGGTATAACTAAAAAAAATAATTTTTTCACAAAATTACATTTAATTGTTTCGAACATAAAAGTGCATAAAAATGCATTTAAAATAATTTTTTTCATGAAATTATATTTTTATTATAATATTATATTGTTATTATTATATTGCTATCATTTTATGATTATTTCAATATTATATTATTTTTGCAAACTTTATTCAATAATACATCCCTTTTTATGAATATTTTACTAATCTGAAATTTTTCCCTTTGCTTTCTTCCAGATTTTTAATTGAATACCGCACGTTTCTAAGTGAACATTGGCAGAAATTGCAGAAAAATATATTGAAAATAATACTTTGAAAACCAAAAAGTTTTAAAAAATATTTGGCAAGTGAAAGAAATGGAAGTGCAGCAAAATGTCGATAATACGAGCGCACTTGAAAATCTTTTATGGCAAACAACAATATTGTAAAACAACCACAATTTTGGAAAGTTGAATAATGGCAATAAAAAAACATATTTCGGCAAACAAATTTCAAAAAAATTGAAAACGAAAACAAAAGAAAATTTAATGGAAATTTGTTGAAATACTTTTTCCAAATTGGCAAAACTGTGTTCGGTACGCATAAATAAAAATAAGTAAGCTAAAGTATAGTGTATATACTATATAAAGAATATTAAAAGAAGAAAAAAAAGAAAATAAAAACATTCAAAAATCTAAGATAAACTATTTTGGTATATAAAAAGAAAAAACATTAAATTTTTAGTGACGTAAGCAACTACATACATACATATTTCGCATGGAAAAATATACTTAAAAATTTAATAATTTTACGCATAAACATATAAATACATATACATATTTCGTAATTACTAAAACAAATTAAATACCGACAAATATTGCTATACTTATGTATTAACTAATCAAGTATATGTATATCCAGAAAAATACGTTTAGTTGATAAAAAATTATAAAAAGTAAATATTTTTTGGCTTATTATAAACAACAAAAATTAAAAATATACTTAAAATTAGTAATTGAAAGTAAACAAAAACAAAAAAAAAATACATACATACATATGTACATCTAAAAATACTTTTAAAATATACATAAAAGCGAAAAGCTTAAACGTCCGCATATATCGTTGTGAAATTTTTTACAGTGTTTAGATAAAAAAAATTAAATTGTAGTCCACCCTTGCCCCCCCCACACACAAAAAAAGGATTTAATAATTTAATCCTCACACTGTAAAAACAACAAAGACAGTAAGTAACTCTCTCCCCCAGCAAAAACAAACGACAAAACAAAACGTAGCGACACGTTGTAACGTAAGCAACACGCAACAAGGAGGAGTAGTGTAGAGAAAATAGCAACAAAACTGCAAAATAAAATTTGAGAAAAAAACGTAAACAAATTGGAAACTTATTCAAAATTATTGGTTTGGACTTGCAGCAATACTAATACACAACAACAGCAATCACAATAACGTTAACAACGGCAACAACAACAACTACTACTACACAGCGACCGCAACAATAAATTTTAAGCAACAACAACAACAATAATAACAACTGCTACTACATATATTGTACATCAGTAGCAGTAGCAGCGACAGCAACAACAAAGCAACAGCTTCTTTTCTTCGCGAACTCTGTGTGTGTAATTTGTGTGTTTGTGTGTGTAAGTTTGCATAAAAATTTCGTTTCGGTTTTTTGATAAAACAAAAAGCGCAACATAAACAAAAAAAAAAAAAAATACAAAAATTTTATAAAAGTAAAAAAAAATACATACAAATTTGATGAAAAATTGAAAAAGTGTTAAATGACAATGACAAGTTTTGGCAAAGGAATAAAAACTTAAAGTTTTGATAACAAAAATTTTTGAAATCAACAAAAAATAAATAACTTTTTACATAGCACATTTGGCTAAGCAAGTGCTTCGATATAAAAACAACGGATTTTGGACATTACAATTTTCGGCAAAGAAAATAATCTCATTCGAAAATCGACTACCGAACAGCAAGGCATTTGAGTTCAATTGAAAAAGGTAAGTTGCATAATTTAAATTTATTTTACATACCCTACTTAGTATGTTTTAATTTTATTTTTTATAATTTATTTCAATATGAGAGTGCGAAAATACATCTAAAAAAATTTTAAAGTTCAAATTATTGAAATTCAATATTCTCGAAATTTGCCTATTTTTGGCTCCAATTTCAATAAGCTCTAGCCCGAGAGTTTCTTTTTTTTCAATAGAAGTTTTATAAGTTCTTTCAGATATCACCGCTTTTGGCATAAAAATTATGTATGTGCATATACATATTTATGTACATAGGCTCGGCTCGTAATTGGCTTAGCCACTTTAAACTAAATTATAAAACTAAAAACTAAAAAAAAAATATATATAAATAAAACAAATAATAAAAAATTAAATTATTGAAATCACAAAAACAAAATAAATATATAAAATATTTTTTTATAAAGTAAAATAAAAATATATGAGCTAAAAATACTAATTTTAATTAAAAAGTAACTATATAACGATTAAAAGGCCAATATAAAAATTCAAAAAAAAAAAATATATATAAATTATTATAAAATTTCAGAATTCAAATATCATTATACAGATATGTAGCATAAGAATAAGATTATAAAAAATGTATAAAATAAAACAAGTTTATAAAACATTGTATAAATTAAAATTTTAAGTTAAAAACGAGCAGGCAAAAATTTAGGTAAAATATTTGTATTATATTAATTTTCATTGCAATCTGTTGAAATTCTTAGTAATGCAAACATACAAACATATGTATGTATACTTTTTTTTTTAACAAGAACTCATGTTTACGAATTATGTAAATTATCAATAAGTTAAAGGTCACTTAAAGTGAGGCAAATACATTTTATTACCCAATAAATACAAGCACATGCAAACATTTTTGTAAATATACATACATACATACATACAGCTGTATATTTGGAAAATTTATAGAATAAGCTTATAAACGCTTAAGAATGTATATATACTACATAAGTGTATATGTATGTATGTATGTATATAGATGTATTGCATCACACAATCACATAAAAAGCTAGCACATACATATGCATATTCTCGTCTCGAATAAAATATATACATACATATAACATTTGCCACTTTTCTATTGCACATCATCGTGCTCCATTTTTAACATTTACCCAAATGCGTTGTTGCTCCATTTTTATTTTTATATATTTTACAATGCATTATCATCTGTCAAAAAAGCTTTTTTTCTGTTGTAACGCTTGCACATCTGAGCTATTTTTCAACCAACTCAACTCAAAATACAATACAAAACACAAGCTCGTTTGCAAGAACGAATGCACATCTATACATAAATATATGTATATAAATAAATAAATAAATAAATAAATAAATATATGTATACTTGCTGTCATACAACCCCACTTACAATGCTGCGGGGCATAAGTATCGTATGTATGTATGTATGTATGTATGTTGGTATACTACATATATATATATACAAATATAGTACTATCAACTGCTAGAAATATTGTCGGCGCATTGCTGATTGTCTAGCTTTTTCTGATTGTTTGATTGTTTGCTGCATATTCGTACCTCCGCTGTAATGTTTGTGTTTCTATGTACGTGTATTTTGTGTGCGTTTCTAGGTTGCGCACCGCTAAATATGACGCGGCGAACGTGCGCTGGTGACCTACTTTTATTATTTTGGAGCTATGCGCGTTGTTGCGTCTATTTGATTGCTTATATATACATATATATCTGCTGTGCATTTGCACATAAATATACATATATATGTAAACAAAAAGTAGTACCTACACACGACCGAGTAGAGTTGGTTTTTCTTTATTTTGAGGCTCTTCCGCATTTAATTAGATGCACAAGCATTAAAATAGCTCATATGTATATGTGTGCGTGTGGATATGTAAGCTTACATAGAAATATTTATTTATTTTATTTACAATAGATGCAGTTACATACACACATGTTTCTTGTTTCTTAGCTTTTTTTTTAGTGCGTAATAATTTTCTTCCGTCTTGTGGCATATTTTATTTATAGTCTTTCTTGCACTAATAAATTTCTATGTATGTATGTATATGTATGTCAAAATATGTGTTTTATTGCAATAAGCGTTGGTAAGGGTTTTCGAAGCGTGCTAAAGTTGTTTTGAATAACTCTATACTTAATATGTATGTATGTGCATAGACTATATATATACATGCATTCAGTCAGGTACATACATAAGTGTTTCAGTAAAACATACACTTCTTACATATTTGACAAAGGTTTCTAATATGAACAACTCTGTAATGCTTATGTACATCAATTTGGGGATGGGGATGTTCTCTCCCTGAAAGCTATGCTAAGACGTACATATGTACATAACCCCATAAATACGTTTATTCAATAAATTGAGGAAAAATAAAAATAACTACAGTGATTTAAAGAGGCAATAAGAATTAAGAAGGAGTTATAACAATAAAAAAAAAAAAAATAGAATGAAAAATTCACGAAAAAATAATTTTCTTACTCGACGTTATATAATATTAATATTGCTAAATATTTATGTTTACTTGCTGGTATAAGAAAAAAACATAAGAGCAAAGTTTATATAAAAATTACGAACAGAAAATTAGAAGAAATAAAAATAAAATATATATTTAAAAAATATAGAAATTTTAGGAAATAAAACTAATAATAAAAGAATAACAAAAAACTAAATAATAAACTAATTATAAAAGAAGAATAGAAAATATTTTAATCTGAAACTAAAAATCAAAAAATATCAAAAAAAAATAAAAAGTAGAAATTGAAAATTAAAAAAAAAATATTGATGAAAAATTAAAAAAATTAAAACTAAACAATCAAATAAAAAAATATAAACAAAACAAAAAAAAAAAATTAAATTTGATTATAAAAAAAATTAAAATAATGAATGAAATAATATTACAAAATTAGAAAAAGTATAATATAATTGAATACAAATGCCAAAAAAACGGAAAATTCAAAATTTTTATTTAAATAACAATAGAAAATTATTTAAGAAGAGAAAAGTTTAAACGATAATTAATGTTAATAGATAATTTAAAAAATTTAGAATAATAATAAATAAATAAAATTAAGATAAGTTAAAAACAACCAAAATAATAAAATAAAAATACATAAAACAATATAAATATGACATGTAGAAAAATTAAAACTAAAACAAAATAACAAAAAAAAATCAAAATAAATATAAATATAACAAAATAAAAATGAAAAAAAAATTAACAAAATAAAAAAGAATAAAAAATAACAAAATAAAAAAGAAAAAAAAAATAACAAATTAAACTCGAACAAAAAATAAAAAGTAAAAAAGAATAAAAAAATAAAAAATTATTTAAGATTTAAAAAGTATAAATATAATAAATTAATAAATGTTATTCTTTATTCAATAGTTTTTTATATTTTTACCTTTTTTCAATTTTTATTTACTTTTTTTATTATATATTCTTATATTTTTTTATTTATTATAATTAAAGAAAAATTATTAAAATAAAAAGGAAATAAAAGTAGAAAAAAAATAATAATATAAAAATAAAAAGATAAAAAATAAAAAAATTGTAAAAGAAGATAAAAGTAAAAACTTTTTAGAAGAAGAAACAAAAATAAAAGAAATTGAAAAAAATATATAAATATAAAAAAATATATAAATATAAAAAGATATAAAAATAAAAAAGAATAAAAAAATAAGATGCAAAACATAAAAGAATAAAATGCAAAATAAAAAAGAAAAAAATCAAAATAAAAAAGAAAAAAAAATCAAAATAAAAAAGAAAAAAGAATAAGTAAATAAAAATTTATTTAAGATTTAAAAATGCTATAAATATAATAAATTAATAAATGTTGTTGTTTATTGAATAGTTTTTTATATTTTTACCATTTTTCAATTATTAAATACTTTTTTACTATTTATTCTTATATTTTTTTTATTTATTATAAATAAAAAAAAATATTAAAATTAAAAGAAAATAAAATACCAAAAAAAAAAATATAAAAATAAAAAAAGAAAAAAATAAAAAAAGAAAAAAAAAATAAAAAAATAAAAAAAGAAAAAAAAAATAAAAAAATAAAAAAAGAAAAAAACAAAAAAAGAAAAAAATGAAAAAACAGTAAAAGAAGACAAAAATAAAAACAATTTAAAAGAAAATACAAAATTTAAAAAAAAAAAAGTTATAAAAATATAAAGATATAAATATAAAAAAATATAAATAAAAAAAAAATAAAAAATAGAAATTTATAAAGAAGATATAAAGAGTTAAAGTTAAAAAATATAAAAATGATAAAAGTAAAAAATTGAAAACAAAACAAAAATAAAAGAGTAACTATTTAAATTTTTGTGAGGAATGGGGAAAACTTCAAAATAAAAATCCTAGGAAAATAAAGATCTTTTTCGAACAGTAAAAGCAAAACCAAAAAAATAAATAAATGAAAATAAAAAAAAATTGAAGTAAAATTAATCCAAAAAATTCAACTTAATATAAAATACATTTTCTTCGTCCGCTCAAGTTTGTGCCTTAGTTTAAGTGCAGAGTACAGTTACTGCATTTACTTGCATATACATACATGCAAACATATGTACTTATGTATCTATGCGCATACATATATACATATGTATGTGCATGCTTGAACAAGTTTAATTGCCATTGCAACTGCATTATGATGCAATGAGGAAAAGGTTTTTTTAGTTCATTCTTGGAAAAGTAATAAAAACCTAATAAAATGTGCTCTACTGTTTTAACGTTATTGTATTTTTTATTTACTATTCAGATATGAAATTTAAATAAGTTCATGAATGAAATAAATAAACAAAAATGCTTAATTCGGATAGTGGAAAGGTGAATCCTAAAACTTTGGACTACTCCAACATGTATGTACGTACGTAGGTACATGCATTCGTGCACATTGCGGCTGTTGCACTCTACACGGATTGCATGTTGCACGAATTTTATTAACTTCCAACGGTAAATATATATATATATATG